TGCTACCTTATGCATAAAATAAGGTATGTATTTATTTAAAATATAATATAATATTATATTTATTTCTTATTATTATTTTCAAAATGCTACCTTTGTATTAATTAGGATATGTATTTACAAAAAATATACTAACACTACTGCAGGAATCGGATATTCAGACCAAAATATCGGTTCGGATATATTGCAAATCGGTCTGAATATATATATCCGGACCGATCTTGGTCTCTATAGTTGATCTGAAAAAACCTAGTACGAAAAAATATAATATACAGACCGACATGAAATCGGTCCGTATATTATATATACGGACCGAAATCGGTCCGTATATTATATATACGGACCGAAATCGGTCCGTATATTTCAGTATGAAATATAAATGGTTATTTAAAAATTGAAATAAGCGGACCGAAATTGGTCCCAAAAAAATAAAATAATAAAATAATAAAATATGTTCGAACCGAAAATGGTCTGGAAATGTGGGGGAAAGAGGCATAGCAAATATATACGGACCGGGATCGGTCCAAATATAGAGGACCCAGCAGAAACTTTTAAAACTTGCAACTATATCCAGACCGTTTTTGGTCCGAATATTGTGGACTTGCTTGTAACTTTTAAAAGTTCCATCTTCAACCGGCGCCATTCTCAAACTATATCCAGACCATTTTCGGTCCGAATATGGTGGACTTGCTTGTAACTTTTAAAAGTTTCGGCTCCAACCGGTGCCATTCTCAACCTATATCCAGACCGTTTTCAGTCCGAATATTGTGGACTTGCTTGTAACTTTTAAAAGTTCCAGCTCCAACTGGTGCCATTCTCAAACTATATCTAGACCGTTTTCGGTCCAAATATTGTGGACTTGCTTGTAACTTTTAAAAGTTCCAGCTCCAACCGGTGAAATTCTCAAACTATATCCAGACCGTTTTTGGTCCGAATATTGTGGACTTCCTTGTAACTTTTAAAAGTTCCAGCTCCAACCGGTGCCATTCTCAAACTATATCCAGACCGTTTTCGGTCCGTAAATATCTTTAAGAAAAAAAAATAAAAAATAAATGCATTTATAAAAAATAAAATATGATTATAATAATTACTTAAAATATATA